TTTGTTTTTAATAAATCCTCACTTTCTCTTCTAGTTTTCCAAGAGCTCTGCCACTTATCTAAAAAGTGTGATTTCCCTGGCTTGTGACAAATGTAAAATTCAAGAGCTCTGAAAAGATTTATGAAATTCTCCAGAAGAGAGAACAATGATACAATGGAAAGCAGGAACTTCTGGCAGATTTCCATTTAAATTAAAGCCACATTTCAAATATTATAATGGAAAAAGAATCATATATATTTCCTTAATTTAATAGGTATAAATTATTTATATTATCACATCAAATTGTCCATATAATTTTAACAAACAAAATTTCCCCATGGGAAATATTTCAATATTCATAGAATAATTTTTTAAAAATTAAAATTTCATTATTAAGAATATTAATTACTATTCGAATCCTGTGTGGACTCAGGAGTAAATGGCCAACTCTAGTTTCAGTTTTCACTTTAGAACTTTATACGCCACTATTTACTGTTAATGAAGATTTGAAAGGAAAGAAGTAATTTCTTAACATAAATTTAACTTCAATATAATTTACAAAGTGACATTTTTATTCACAGAAATCCTTGAAAAACAAACGTAGTATATTAAATTCATGAGAATTCTTTCTTTTAAGGGGTAACACTTTTCAAGAAAATTCCCAAATACGGTAAGTTTATTTCTTCTAAGCTATCACAGCCAAAATCTAAGTATGGGAAAGTTCCTTAGCAGTTCCTTAGTTTCCAGGGCAAAGTCCTAGGCATCCTGCAGGAACTTCTACTACAGCATTTACAATAAGTAGCTTTCCAGAGTTTGCCTGAATATCTCCAATGATTGAGAGGTGGAAGTTTACTATCCATGGTCCAGACTGTTCTATTGCAGGCAAAAAAAGTTCTTCCTGTTGATGAGTAGAAATCTATATTCTTAAAATTGCAACCCACTGGGTATAATTATAGTATCCATAAGCACCTAAAATTCCAATTCTTCTGTTCCCTCATTGGAAGTAGCTGCGAACAGCATATCAAGTCCTATTACTTTGTGACTTGCAGGGAGAGGGAGAGGAGAGGGCAGATGTGCAACATAGCAATGGGAAAGGAGATGGAAGACATCAAACATTTGGTTCACAACAATATTTTATGCCAGATTGAGTGACAAACATAGATATAACCCAAGACTACAAAAGATAATGAGTGTAAGCATGTATATGTATTTGTTTGTATATATGTAAGTACATGTAAATTCATGTGAACATATATGTAATGTGAACATATAATGTAAGTGTATACATGTATATATAGTGTATGTGTATATGTGTAAGTATATGTATGTATGTGTGTGCATATGTATATGGTATATAAAATGCTAAGCCATCTAATAGGATAATCTTCAAACTATCTTCAATAAGGAAATGCAAACATGAATTTTTAAAATATTATTTTTAACAAGAATATAAAATACATACAGCTTCTAAGCATTGCAAGAGCTGTTAACAGACTAGAGAGGATGAAGGGAATTCAATAAACCTATGTTTATAGTATGGTAAAAATATGGTTACTTCAAAATATCTAAATCATTCAATGTTAAGCTTATCATCTAGATGTTTGCTATCAAGTAGATGAAGACGTTCCCAACCAGTAAATCAAAAATAATCAGTAAAAAAAATAAACAACTAACACAAAACAAAAAAAATAAAAGAAACAATCAGTAGAGCACTCTGCTAGGTCTCTTTCCGCAAGTTTCTGACAGGATGCTTAGCATGGAAGGGAGCAGGCCAGCGAGGCTGTACCTTCCTGGATGTGGCTTAGGATTCACCCTTTCAGTCCTTCTCTCCACTCTGCCTGTTTCTAGGCTTCAAAGAACTGAAAAGTAGCGATTCCTCATGAGAAGTCTGGTGTTACAAGAATTTTTGGTGTTATAAACAGTTTAGAAAATTGAAAGGATTCTTATATATTCTCCTAAATTCATTGGTGAACACAGCTCCCACTGGCGGATGCTCAATTATGAAAGAAGAGCTAAATTCATTAGATTTCAAGGCAAGAAAAAGAACAAACATACAGAAAACTTTTCCACAAACATAGAAACAAAAGAAAAATGGGTTTGGGTAAATTGTCAGGATATTCGGTTAACAGAACAAAATCTAGAATTAATCAAAATGCTATGAAATTTTATTCACCAAAAAGAATAAAACTATATTTAGATCTAGGAAGCTAAAAGATAAACCTATATAAATAGTTTTAGTTATCTTAAAAGTAGAAACAAATAACTGGATAACGTAAGTAATACGTAAACCCATTCAAAATTGTATAGCCTGGTAAAGTGCAAAAATTATTAATTTTGACCCATGGACCAAATCTGGCATACCACCTGATTCTATGTCCTAAAATTGCCTATGCCTATTTTCATGCTATAAGATCAGAGTTGAGAAGTTATGACAAAAACTACTATGGCACACAAAGCCTAAAATATTTACTATCTGTTCCCTTACAGGAAGCGTTTGCAGACCCCTGCCCTATATAATCACAGATCTTCAAATAAACATGTAGGCCACATTGCTAAATCATGATGGTCTCAAGGGAGGAAAGAACTTGACTTGCTTTATCATCCAAGCCCTTAGTTACAAACCAACAACAACAAAAAGACACAATTGCGAAAAATGTTCCAAGTGTTGTGAGGTTATTTTATAGTATAGAGAAATGAAACAATTGCTCTTCCTACTTATTTTGTAGGTTCTTCCTACCTGTTTTTCCTCTTCTTCATCTGAAGTATTATTGAAATCATGGACATTTCTGCTGGGTCCACTGGGTCCACTGGGTCCACTGGGTCGGAAACCTTTCAATTTTTCTTGAATGGACCACTTGTTCTTTTGATCTGTTGTGTTTTCATCATCACTTCCTGGATTATTTTTCCATTCCTTCATCATTTCTAACACATTGATTGGTCTCACTGAAGAAAGTGTTTTGCCCTAATATTAACAATGAATTTTTGGTGTTATAAACAGTTTAGAAAATTAAAAGGATTCTTATATATTCTCCCAAATTCATTGAGTCACATGGAAAAATTATAATGCTGAATAAATGACAAAACTTTTGATGCTCCTCAGAGCATACTCCCTGTACTGACAAGAATACATATTGGCAGGAAAACCAAAAGAATGAAAGAAGTTCCCCAAAGTCTAGTGGGTCCAACATTAAGGAAAAGTCTATATGATATCAATGTCTAGGCAAAAAAAAATCTAAATTCAGTTCATTAATCAAGTGCTATGTCCAAAATTATACATGTTTGCTTTGAAAGCTCTTATTTGACTTAAAGATTTAGATATAAAGTGGTCATTTGATTATAACAGATTCAGTGCATCATTTTTATCCCAGATGTGACTACACGATATCAAAATTGACCACTTTATGTTAACTAGATTTTTCTTAAATATAATATTCCATTTAATGCCAAGAAAAACATGAATGTAGTCTCAAATGGCTTCTGCTAGATTGGGTATGCCTTAAATACTTTTTCTCCTAACTTAGACTAATAGAGAAAGTTTGAACAAGAAGTTTGGATCACATTTAGATTAAAATGGTAAGTTCACATGTAAGCACAGATACAGAGAAATTCTAAATTAATTTGGTATGTGGATGGATTGAAATATTAACCATCGTTGACAATATACTATGAGACAGAGTACTTTAAAGAGAGCTATCTGAGTCTACTGTTGGGTGAAGACAAACATTAAGTATGGAATAGCAATAACTAAATAAATAAAACATTACGTATGGAATAGCAATAACAAACATTAAGTATGGATTATTATGCAATTAATTCCTGGTTGTTCTTCTATTTCAACCTGTTTTAAGAAGGTCTATATTCTTACCGATTTCATAGCATCCTGTTTTGGGTTGTACTTATGCTTCCTCGACCATTTACTTCCAGAATGCCCTCACCATGCCTTCCGCCAACTTATAGCCTCCATTTTCTTCAAGGCTCAATCTGACGGTCATCTCTGTTAAGTATCCCAGAACTTCCAAAGATGTTGTCAACTTAGATTTGGGGTCGTTTGTTACCACAGCATAATCTATCTAGCCTATCCTGATATACATAGCAAATAAACATTTACATTCTGTAAGTCACCTCCAAACAGCCTTAAAAAGAGTGAGCCTACTGTACAAGCAGCATACTCAACAAAATTATAATTATTACCGAAATCACATGCAATCAGTACCATGTGATAACTCATTTATTTAGGCAATTCTTGCTTTGCACAGTCCTGATGTACATGAATTTCAGTCATCATGACTTAAACAATGTCAACAATGTTCAAATTTAAACCACTATGGTATATTAACTCTAATTGCATAAGTTTAAACTTCACTGCTAGCTTTTTAATCCACAATAACTATATAAAAGACATCACTATGTAAATGACAGATGTGCATCATGATTCAGTGACCAATCATGTCACTTCTTTCAAAATCTGTTGGTGATTGGACCCTGTGCATCTGCTATTAAGTTCGCATACAGACAGCAAAGTATGCAGTTGTGTCACCTGCTTGTCTCCCAGGGAACTTGTCAACAAAGATGAAGTTCAGTAAAGAAATTAAAAGTGATAATGCTATAAGTGAAATCTAAATCAGCTGCAAAGGGAGTAATAGAAGAAACAGCTGACCATGGAAATGTTGACACCTTACCATTTGAGAAAACCTAGATATGCAACCAATGGAACTCAGTGAAGGCAAACTTATCGACATAAATGAAGAAAGTGATTGTGACAGAAAGGATGAATTTGTCCCAGAGAAAGTGACGCCTGCAAAATATTTGACATTTAAAGAATTTTCAGAGATATTTCATGACACTGAAAGCACAAAGGATAAAATGTTGGAAGTTGATCCAAACTTAGAAAACAGTATGACAATTCTCCAAGGCATAAAAAGATGCTCCCTTCTGTAGCGTAAGTTATATGACAAGCATGAAGAAGAAGGCAAGCATGGTTTAAACTAATCCTGGTAAGTTTTCACAAAAAATAAAACACTTTAATTCTCAGTATTTCTAATCCTTTAGATTATAGTGCACTAAAAAATATTAGTTTTACTTTGTTTCATTCCCTATGTATTTATAACCAACAGAGAGTTTGTAATGTTTAACAAAAATTTTAAAGATAATGGAACAATCCTAATTTTCCCATTGATTATTAAAATCATTTTGTACAGTTTCAATTTGCATTATTTTTATGGTCCTACATGACCATGCAAAGCAAGGACGGCCTGCATCATCTTGGATCTGCATCTCTAGAAATCTTTCAAGTGCTTGGTTTACATACACATACACCCAAGAGCTTGGTAACTGACATTTTACATGCCTAAAGTGAGCGCCATTGTACTTAAAAAAATGGCTCTATTTCTCATTCCAAAGAGATTGTGGAGACGAGGAAAGGATCCAGAATAGGAGCGTTATCATATCAAAAACACACTACTATTTGGAAATTTTTAACTCTTTGCTTTTTATGTTCATTTGTGATATCAAACAGGGCATAAATGGTAGTATTGATTCCAGATTTTCCCTGTTGTCTAAAGTCCAGCCAATAACTTACTAAATAAACTACCCCTTTTATTACTTGCTAGCAGGTGGAAGAGAAACTGCATCCAATGCTTGGTCTGACAAATGAATAAGTATCCCAGGGATATGTGTCATCAGCCTTCTAGCTTCAACAGAAATTATAAATGAACCAACAAACCAAACAAAAATGGGTAGAATTGTTAGGATAGACAGAGTAGATTGTATGTCACCTCACTATCAGAACACCAACCTCTGAACACCCTTTACTGGCTATATTCACGGGGTCAGACAATGAACTCATCGACTATGAGGGGCAAATAGCCAGGAGGCAGCAGTAACAAGTGGATAATCTGAGGCTATCACAAGTAGAAAGCCAATCTTTTGGCTAATAAATTTGTTTAACAAGTAGAAAGCCAATCTTTTGGCTAATAAATTTGTTTAATGCATTTATTTAACAGATGGTTGAAAAACTAGAAAAATGGACACTCATGGAGGAGTGGTCAAAAAATAAGATTTGGATTTAACACCTTAGTAGACAAGTTCCACAAATGGAGACCCAAACATACGTCCCCATCTAACAAAATATCTTTTCAAGGACAGTGCCTATCAATATTTTGTAAACAATAGGTATTTTTTAATGAATGAATGATATGTATGAGCTTAGATGAGATGGTATGAAACAAAATCAGCAGCAAAACTAAAAGGAAACATTCTGGGTCTTTAGCTTATAGTTATCATTTTCTACTTTCTGCAAATAGCCAGAACTCTTCATTTTGTAATGTTCTTAGGAATACATTTTTTTCAACAGAAAAATGGAATAGTCACTAGAGATTATATATATTCCAAATTAAAACAATGAGATGCTAGTTTTCACCTAATATACATAAATTTAAGTCTGACAATACTCTGTGTTGGTGAGGGTGTGGGGAAACAGGCTCTCTCATTTACTGGCTTTTTATGGAAGGGTAAATTAGCAGTAATCTATCAAAGTGTGTAATGCACATTCTCTCTGGCTAGTAATTCCACTGTTAAGAATTTATCCTATAGATATAATGACACAGCATGCAAACATATATTTACAAGAACATTTGTTGTACCACTATTTGTAATAAGGAAGATCTGAAATAATTTAAATGACCCATATTCATAGGAGATTATTTACAAAATAATAGTGTATCCATAGTTTGGGGTACAATGCTGCTTTTTTTAAAAAAAATAAGGAAATCTTTCCAAGATATATTAGATAAAAAAGGATAGTTTGCATAATACGAACCCATTTGTGTAAAGCATATAAATAAAAATGTAGAGAATGTTTGCGAAAGAACACGTAAGAGACTTAACGATGATTATCTTTGTAAGAGGGAATGGAGTTAATGGAGGAAGCTATTTTTCCTGTTGTATTTATCATGGTTAATCTCAACTATTACTTTTATATGACTAGTAATTAACACAGATTACAGTAGGAAGAGAAATAATGTAAGTTGCAGATACTCACAAAGACTGACAGCACCCAATACAATTACCAAACCTGTCCTAATGGGTCTTAATGAGTCTAAGGCAGAGGCATATCAAGGTAGTAACAGCCATTAAAATAAGCAACTGTGTGGCACTTTAAAAATTTTTCGTAGTAGTCATTGCAGTGATTTTCTTCCCACAAGTGCAGCAACTGTATGAGTAGACAGACTGGTGTTGATATTCCAATTCTTCAGAAGAAAACAGCCTGAGAAATTTAGTAATTTACCCTTATTCCAGAAGTGCATTTCCAATTGCCTGCCAAGAATTTCTAGCTAGAGGTGTTGCTGAGCCTTCAATACTCTACTGTATATTTGAAAGTTGCTAGGAGAGTGTATCTTTAAAGTTCTCGACACACACGAAAAATTTTAACTATGTGATAGGATGGATGCATTAACTAAACTTACTGTGGGAATCGTTTCATAATAAATTCATATATCAAGTCATTATGTTGTATACCTTAAACTTATATAATGTATGTCAATTATATCTCAATAAAGCTGGAAAAATAAAAGTAAACTCAATATATTTTAAACCAACGTTCTTTAAACTGGTGTATGCTTATACCTGTCTGTACAGGAAGACTTTCCAAGGGATGTGTGGGCAAGATTAAATGGGATCAATTTCAAGATCCTCAATTTTCAATGATTATTCTTTTTCAAAAGTCACCTGCTTGGGTAAGGATTTGCAGTAATCCTTTCCATGCTCTTTTTCTTAAGTCAGCTTTTCCAATGCTTGTTATTGTACATATGTTTGTGTATGTATGTGTGTATATGTGTGACAAAAGGTTTGTATCTACAATATATAACAAACTTTTATAAATCAATAAGTACAAGATATAAAACCGAATATGAAAAATGAGGAAAAGACTTGAACAGGCATTTCACAAAAAGAAGACATCCAAAA